ATGGATCATTTGTATATTCACACGAGCTTTATTTTGAGGAAATCGAACAGACCTAATGAGAGAATGCCACCGCAGTAAATGCATTCTGTTTTCTGTATAATGATTTCGTGAGATTTAAAAAGTATTAATACTGTTGTAAAACTCATTTTCTAATGCTGGATCAATTTTAGAAAGGCTGTACTGTTGCATGTTTCAAACGTAATTTGGGTCCACGTTTATTCGATTTCGAATCATCGAATAAACGAGTAATAGGTAATTTCATTTTAGAATTGTGATTTGAAAGCTCGGTCAAATAATTTATATTCCTCTTCAAAATTCTGTAAAATTCGTTCCGCGGTCGGTGTTCATTTTCATTCGTTTCTAAATATAAATTGGTGTTTGACTTGGTTGCTCGTATCCGTGGATACAGTACTGTACAAGAGAAAGCGGAGTCCAACTATTTTTAGATGTGTCCCACGAGCAAAATTTCCAATCAAGTGTATTATTAGTGAAAGTGACTGCTGTGACTGCTGTGAGTGATTCATTCCGTCTAATAGCCTTGTCAAATGCGGTCGGAAATTCCGCAGTAATTGAGACGACCTTCAACTCGCGTTGAAAGTTCAGCACTCCTTTGGGAAGTACAGTATTCCATTTCCATTACTTTTTTTCTCAAGTTAGAAGTCTTCGAACCGCACGATTTCTTCGCATCGGACATCACGATTTATATTTACCATTACCATTATTTCAAAGCCTTTCTTTCAAGCTGATAACATGAAACCCGATCATTGCGAAACCATTTATTTAATCTCTTGCTGCATTTTTTTAAATATTGGGCGATTCTCGCACTGCTAGATACTTGGAATGAACCTTTGCAAGTGAAGTAATAATGTAGTGTATAATTAATTTTGAGTATCGCGCGATTTTAATTAGATTTCGAAATTGAAACTAAATATAATGGCACTAAATATTTTAAGGTCGATTGAGCTCATTCATCGGTTTTTTGAATTCATGAAAAATCATTGACTCAAAAAATAAGATGGTGTCGATAAAGCAGGTAGCTTTCGTGAGAAATATTCATGATAAAAAGTTATCAACAACAAAATCGTCGTTTTTTTACGACACAATTTTTTTAAAAACTAATATCCTTTATCTTTGACTTGATGAAAAATTTTCGGTGCATCACGTTGGTAAGTATATTCTTGAACAAAAAAAAGACTTATCAGCGTATGTTAAGATCATAAATTCAAGTCCATTAACCGAGGCACCATTTAACCTTCTTCGTACACCTTGGAAAGTATCAATATTTGTTGTACCTACTGGTTTGTAAATCACTCTGTATTTATGACTCCCACTGAGAGTTCACATGAAATATTACCACGATATGCGTATTTTTAGTTCGAGTCCATGCTCGATCCAGAATTTTTTCCTTGATTATCTGCGATAATCAGCGCATTCCTGTGTCCCCGTAATATTATTACGTCATGCTAGCAAAGATTTTTTTCACTGCCTGTTGTTTATAATGTTTTCATTGTGGATGTGGGAAGGTGAGGAAACTGGGTTAGCATTTCTTGGGTAATTGGTTGAAAAAGTAGAGTTCGCGAGAAGTGAGAATTATTGCGTGAGAACTTGAATCCTTCTAATTTTAACAAAGGCATATTAGACATATAAGGGGGGAGTGGTTTCCCTCTAGACAACCTTTTACTTAATATACACACCTTTGACCACATATAAATACACGACATCGAACCAATATCAAGTTGCACAGCTCTAAAATTTTTAAAATTAGATTATTACATTATCTTGCATGGAGTTATTGAAAATAATTTTATTTTTCTAAAATCGCTGCATGGCCTTGTATTTGCATCATGACGGACATCAAAAGGGCATCCAGACACATGAATTGAACAATGGATCGATTCTTCAAAATTTGAATAATTTTTCCCTTCTGTGCCTTCACTTTGTTGTTGCTTGAACGAATACTGCTTACTTGCATTGCATAACAATGAGCAACAATTATTGGTTCTGGATTGAGTTTATTTTTTGGTGAATACTGTTTGATAAAAATAATTCGAACATGTGTTCTGGTGAATTTGTGACAGAGCTCATACTGATGGAAAATTGCCAATGCTACTTTCCAGTAATTGTTCATCTTGTCTGCAAAAATTCTAATTTCCTTAGCTTGTTATGTCAATTTTTAAAAATTTGACTTGAAGAGATTTGACTGTATGTATACCATTGTTCCCCAACCATTATGGGACTACAGACCAGCAAATTTCCAACAACAACAAAATTTCAAACTCGCCAATTCCCCAAAATGTTTCTGCAGACCAGCAAGGTTTCATGATTTTTTTTGCAGACTCAAAAAAGTTTTACTTGAAAGAGTTTATGGCAGGTATTCGAATAGTTCCTGCTTTTTTGTAAAACAAAAGTTAAACACCAATGAAGCAGCCAGATAGGGAAATGTTTTCAAAAAATGGAAAGGTGGGCTTGATCCGCTTGAAGAAAGGTTTCTCAGCATGAAAAAATTAAAATAAATTATTTCAGCATGCAAAAATTAGTTTGAAGTGTTGGGAGAAAAGCCAAGTTCTTTTCATCCGATAATTTCAACTCTACCATTACCTTTGCAAAATTTTGGTTAAATATAACAGACTTCATTGCTACTTTTGATAAGTTCATCATGATGCAATTAATTTCCTGTAGACTGGCAAAAATATTCTGCAGACCAGCCCCTGTCCATGGACCACAGGTTGGGGAACACTGGTATACAGGTGGTACCATGCAATTTGACCCTTATTTGTTGCTAGACTAGGGTTGGATTGCAAAGAGGTCAAATTGTGAGATAATTTCTAAAATTGAGAAATATCTGCAAAAAAATGCAAAAAAGGGGCCAAATCAGGTCAAATCCTGCGGCAGAGTCAAATTTTAAGTCAAACTCCCTGAAAATTTGACCATCAAACTGTAGGAGGTTGGATTGCAAGGTACCTCCTGTATTACCGTATTTACTAAAGTACCACGCGCACCTTTTTTCTCAAATTTCAGAAGAAAAAAAGGTGTGCGCGTCATAAGCGGGTACAAATTTTTCAATAAGTTATAGGAAGTAATGTGTGCATTATATTTAATTATAAAGGAGAAATTTCATACAAATGTAACAAGAAAACTTTTTTGTACTGAAAAAGTTGAAAATTGATCCAATTTTTCTTCAATTCATGTCAAAAAGTCAAATTAATGAATTTATTTTCGAAATTTTGTGGTTTTAGATTCACTATAAAGTGGGGTACTTGGGTATAAGATTTTAGCCAAATTTCCAACTGAAAAAACCCCTTGCACGCCTTACTTGAGGGCGCATGGTACTCTGGTATAGTTTTAACCTATCAAGGTGACTCAAACCGGTTGAGTTCCTAAAAGTGTTGTGTATTTACAGTGAATAAACTAAACTTGGATCGCGGTCACTGTATAAAAATTCAGTGCATGGGGATGGAAGAAAAAAAAGGAAATCCTGGTTGACTTGAATAGAGCATTCGGAAGCAATCGTATTCGCAGAGATGAAATCTTTCTTGTCTCTCAGGAAGAAAAAAAAAACGTTTTTATGTCTCGCTTCCTGCTTCTGTTCACGACATTGTTCATAGAGCGAGGAGAAAACCGTTCCATCTTTTTTCTCTCCATTTTCAACTTATCACACAAAACACTATAAAACTTTTTTGAAAAGAGGAGGGAGGAGAAAAAAAAAGAAGTGCGATGTCGGTTTCATGATTCTCTGAGCTGTGGAAATGAATCGAGATCCGCCAGAAAGTGAAATGCTCGCTCACGGTGTGTTCTCGGTGGCGTGATTAACTGTGATTTCGATCCGTGTCCGTGTTTCTTTTTTCTGGTTTCGTTTTGTTCACATTTGTGGTTTCATTCCTTCTTTGTTCAATTCTTTTTTTTGTTTTAAATAATTTAATGCCGAAGGAAAAATTGCTTTGCTTGACGTTATACGAGGAAACTTTTGCGCGAATTTTTGGCTTCGGTTTCGTGAAAGTAGAAAAGGTTTTGAGGCGCGTTCACGGTGTTCTCGATTGCGGTCGAATTGAGTTGCGAATTTCGCGCGATATTTTCGTTAAATTTTTCTTTTTGCCGCGATTTTTGAATTTTTTGCATCCAAAGAGAAGGCGGTTGAGTGGAACGTATCAATTTAATTTTCGATCTTGGCTTTAATTTCCTGAACGTTTTAAATTGAACGACAAACTGCTGGAAGCGAACTCCTCTGGAATAACATTTTTCTGTCTCGGAAAATTGAAAAAAAAAATGTTTTCGCCTTTCGAGATCAATTATTAATCGTGTATCTTGGAGAAGATTGCTTTGCTCGAAAATTAATTTTAAACGCGTGACTTTTTTTCTGCAATTACCGCGATTTCCGAAATTATTCAAGTTTTCACGATGCTTTCAAATTTTTAAAATTGCTTTTAAATCGATGTAGTTTCAAAAATGGAAAAAAAATTGTACCAACCTGCTGACTGTAGAATTAATTTAGCAAAAATGTTTATTGCTCAACGGACGCGAATGTGATTCATGTCCAACATTTTATACTTTAAAAATTATGTTGCCTTTTCAATCGATAGACTTATATGATTAAATCTTGAATAATTTTTGAAACCATTAACGAATTTTTTGTGCATCGTGTATTGAGAATTTCGCTCACTGTAACTCGAGGGAGCAAATTTCATCAAGTTTCAGCATCATAATCCAAGAATAATATTTGCAACATGATACCGAGTGCCGTTTTGAAAAGAAGAAATGTTTCATGATTTATTTTTTTCGTTCTTATGCAGAAAACTGAAACGGGAAGTCGATTTAAACCAACGTCCCAGACCATCTGGGACTTTTCCCCCCATCAAAACGATGGAGCGTCGCCAGATGTCGCCCCAAAGGCCAGGAAGTGTGTGATCAACAACAGACCAAGTGTCCAACAAAAAAAAAAGGAAGCAAAAAATTCGCAGTGACGCGCTCTGTGAAGAGAAAGAAGAACGAGAAATATAACCGGAATGACGCGATCGAATCCGTATCGCGTCATGGCCGTCGACTCGACGCGTCCATCTTCTGCTTCTTCCCCAGCTGTCGCCTCAACAACGACGACGAATGACGTCATGGACAATGACGGCGACGAGACAGAGGCGTCCATTCTCCGCTTCATGGCGTCCACGGACGGCGCCAAGTTGCTGGACTCGAATCCCAAAGTGTTCGCCGTGCTCGCGTCTGCGCTCAACAACAACCTCAAGAAGGTGCCGCCGTTTCCGGCGACATCTGGTGGTGGTGTCGTGGGTGACCCGGCCTTGGACCGTGGATCTGTGGGTGGTGCCATCACCACCACCACCGCCAGAGGCAAGCAAGACAAGGTGTTGTTTCTGGGCGAGGACAATCGGAAGCGGCTGCTGTTGGGCGTGTGTTGCCTGGCGGCGTTTGTCTTCCTTGCTGTTTTCAGAGATCTGGTTTATCAGGCAAGTTTCGTAATTTTTTTTTTTTTTTACCTATAAGATGATTTTAATTTTCATTATTGAAAGCGGTTCACAATTGTTCAACCAAATGCTGGAGCTATGTGAGGAAATTTTTTTTCTTTATTGTCAAACTCCTTGGAAGTTTGAAAAATTATGAAACAACCATCTTTCTTTATTTTTTCGCAAGATCAGCGAATCATTCGGAAAATGTGTTGCAAGGAAGATTCAGTGCAGAAGTGCATGTTAAAATTTTCCGCTTCGTTTCATCAAAGGAAGTTAAATTGATTCCAACGTACTAAATTATTTGCTGCAGAAGCAGTATTTATTACCCATTTCCCACATCATCTCGGTCCCAATTTCACAGAAAACATCGAGTTTCAATTAAATGAATTTTTGTCCCAGCAGAACTTTTGGTTTGGGAGTTTGTTGGGATGAGATTTTGCTGCGCATTAAATTTCAAGTTTCGCTCACTCATTTATAAAATCCGCGTCATAATTTCTTCTGATGTTTTCTCCACGTATTAAATCATAGATTCGAAGAGAAGTGCATAAATGTTCAAGGGGAATAAAAAAAAAAGTTCGAGGTTCATCCTTCCTACCCATCTTTTGTAATTCCCTTCTCTGCCAATTTGAAGTTTCGCACGATCGCTGTATGTTCGCACGGATATCAAAGCCGCACCCAATTTTTTTCGCCTTTCCCTTCGTGTTTACAGGATATTTAAATGTAAGAAAAATATAACAAGTGAAATTTATTTTTTACATTGTCGACTTTATTTTACAAATACTGCGCTGGGAGTAAGAGCTTTATAAAAAAAAGATTCAAACGTGTAAGTGACATAAATTCGCTGTAACCGGTGTAAGACTAAAGTCATGACATGATCGAATTGTTTTCGATTTTTAAATCTTGTAAAAGTGAATGCAATTTTCAAGACTCGACTCCGTTTTCCCATTTTAATTGCATCTCGCATCAATTTGAAGCTTGACTTTCGTCATGTTTTTTCGAATACAGTATTTTATATGAACTGGGCACATCGTGATTCTCGACGACCAAAATGAAATTCTGATAAAATTAAATTTTGCATATTATTGTGTGCCATGAATAAAATATGAATTTTATAAGTCAAATTATTTTTTCATCAAAAATTTCGAATTTCTCCCATATTCGGAGTTGAGTTTCAAAATTTTTACAAATTTGAAATCACCAACGATTGGATTTTCATGAAATATGTGCGCAGATGAGTAATTTTCACACACACAAAAATCATAGCGTGGTCGTGTGTCAAGGTCCGTCTCGCTTATTTGCATTTACTGTACTCCTAAGGGAAAAAGATACGATTTTCGCACAGTCATTCCTATATGTGATAAGGAAAGCGCGATTCTAGGCAAATGGGCTCGATCTCTCAAAGAAATCCTTCGAGAAATTTGCACGAGTGTTTCTCTTAAGTTTTCATGACTGTACACGTATTTATTATTTTACTTGACGTGTGGTTGAGGACCTACTCGAATGGTGTTATTTTATTATTGTACGAACAGTGGGGCCCCTATTAGATGCAAACGTATTTTAATGCTTGGGCCTTGTCCGTATGTCGGAGCGTCCGCATGTCGGATCACGTTTTCGGTTATACCTGAATGCGAAAACTAATTTGAGTGATTTTTCGAGTTAATCAAAAATTAGGAATAAGCCCCTCAGAAAATTGGATAAAACTCGTTTCTCAACTTCGATATACCAAAAATCGCCGCTGAGAAGAAAATCACGCACAATCTAATCTTTTGGCATCAAAATTAGCACAAGAAGCCTACAAGAAGAATACGTCTTGCTATATTCTGCACATGTGATAGAAAAATATTCAAAAATAGAAGCACACAATTAGCTTGCAATTAATTATTGATTTGAAGAAGTTTCTAATATTTTTTTTTGAAAATAAGCAGCTCAATATATTGGTTAAAGAGATTTCCAAATAATTCAGAAAATTAAAATTTTTCCATTTTCTTGGAAATGTTGGAAACCATGTCCGTATGTCGAGACATTCTCAAGATGTTGGGGAATGTTTGTGTGTCCCTAAGTTGAATCATCTGCATGTCGACGTCCCATTATTGCCCAACAATTGATTTTAAACTTATCTTTACTCACGAGGATTTTTCGTATGGATTGATTGACTAGGTGACGATGTGGTTGGAGGGGCGACACCCCGTGACGATCGCAGCATTTAGCGTTCTTCTCTACGCCTTCCTCTCCCTCCCGATGGCGTTCGGCTACATTGTGGTCAACATGGCCGCGGGCTACATTTTCGGCGTGTTTGGCGGCATGCTGGTCACGGTGACCACAGTGGCTACCGGAGTGGCGCTCGCTCACGTCGCCATGCGCCATTATTGTCGGCCGGGCATCGTGGCGCTCATTGCCAAAGTGCTGCCGGCGGAGTATCACAGAGCGCTTTTCAAGTTGCTGGCTGGACCCGAAGCGCTCAAGATCGTCTTCTTGACTCGCCTCACGCCGATCCCGTTTGGGCTGCAGAATGCCATTTTTGCTGTGCGTATCTTTTATTGATTTCCATTCGGATTTTTTGGCGGATGAAGGGCAAAATGTTTTTGAGGGTTTCAAACACTGACAAGCGGCTATATTGAAACTTGCATATCAATCAATTAAATTTATTTCTGTCCATTTCTTTATTGGGTGCATCATTGTCTCGATTAGTATTCTTTGGAACCTGTGCGCATTGGATTGATCAGGGACATTGAAATTGATCAATGAAATTCCCCAGAAAACAAGCAAAACTGTTGGAGGTTTTAATGGCCTTAAATTTTTTAAAATTAAAATTCTGGTGCTGCATTTTAGATTCTTAGTCAATGAAGCTGAATTTGTCAGACAGGAGGAAGGAAAATGCATTATAAAAGTATATGGAATTTTAATCATGAGAAAGTTTGTGTTCATCTGATTGACTAACATTTTCGCTGTGAAAGTAGAATTTGAATTTTTCTTAATAAAAAGTATAGAACCTTTCTCAACTGAGTGCATTCTAATTTAGTTGCTGGGTTTTAACAATACAGTACAGTATCTCAAAGATCATTTCTGAAATCAAGTAATGATGAATGGTTAAGTAGAATTATCTTCAATTTACAGTGTTTTTTTAATTGCCAAGGAGGGGATCTTTTCCCCAAAGAAAACCACATATTTGTTTTTATATTCAAGGAATAAGTGAAAGAAATTAATTTTACTAATTATTCCAGACGCATGCCACTGGAAATTATTTTGCATGTAATACTGTATATATAAAATAAGTCATAATATGCTAATAATTATAAAACTGAATGTGTCTCTTTGAATAGTAGAGACAACCTATTATTTCTTTTGCAAGAGTCGCAGTCCCTGAAGAAAAATTGAATTTTTAAAATCAAAGGTTGATTTATTTTTGTTGTTTTCTTCGCAGGTTACCAATGTTACCACAAAAAGTTACCTTTATGCCACAGTCGCTGGGCTGTTCCCAACTCAATGCCTCAATGTCTACCTTGGCAGTACCCTGAGGAGTCTGGGAGACATTTTGTCTGAAGGCGGACTGTCTCTTGTTGGCTATGTTGTGCTCATTGCCCAGGTGAGTTTCAGGTTTCAGAAATGTTTTTTTTTTCTTCTCACTTCACTTACTTTCAAATCTGATTTGAATTATAATTTTTTCCACAGAGATTTTTCAGATTTGAAGAATATTTATGAGGTGTTAGAAGTGAGGATACTTTGAAAATGTTGCCATGTTTTGAGGAAAAGTCAATACAAATATTGCTAACATTTACAAAATGAAGCTATATTTTCCAAAAATGAAATTTAAAATTATTTGTGTACCATTGTGAATTTCTGTGCAGGATCTTTTTAATGTGGTTTTGGGGACAGTAAATGAAATTTATTTAAAATATTTAAAAAAAATTGTATCGAAATTTGTTTAATCCAAAGAATTTAATTCTGTAGACTTGTAGAGTGTCCCCAAATAAGAAAATTGATATTTCTGTTTTTTTTTTTGTGTGCAACACAATTTTCCCATGAGCGTTGAAAATTGTATCAAATTCCAGGCCCTAACAAAAAAACCAATATGAACTTTGTACAATTTTATTTTAGCAAGTTATTATAAAAAAAAAAGTTACCCTGACAAATTTCAGCTCTTAGTTTTTTTTAATGCCCAAATTATGTGCCAGTGAGGGCAGTACAATACTCAATATTGCAATCTTTCTCACCATAAACTGTCAGCTAAACGTGTGTGGTTAATTTTAAATTATTCTTTTGTTTGATCTAATCTTCTAATGTTTGCTGACTCCATATATTTTTTTTATATAAATTTTGTGATTTTCTTTCTCTAGGCAGGGGTGAGCTTGGCTCTCATGTGGATGGTCCTGCGAAAAGCCAAATCGGAATTGATGAAAGCTGTGTACATGTATGACTCAACCGAGTCGACCTGCAGGTCTTCTTCATCTCCCTACAGCGAACGAAGAGTTATTTGGGCCTGAAGGATCTTTTAGTTTTCATTCTCTGTCCTAAAAGAAATGGAGCGGGGCAAAGATTCCGAGATTAACACAATGTTGACAATGCGAACAAATGAGTGTCGTTGTTGTTGTGTATACGAAAAGTAAACTGAGAGAAAGAAGGGTATACTTGGTTGAAATGTCAAAGAGAGCTACCTGTACAGTGATGGATTCTAAACCTATTGTTGCTCATGTTGTTTTGTTGATTGGCCTGATGATGGAGGAGCAAAAGAAACAGAGAAGAAGACAACGGGAGGAATCGCAGAAACGTTTGGTGATATTCTGAAGCAGTTCGACTTTCTATCAATGTTTTTTTTTGTTTTGTTGATTGTTGTTGACTTTTGTTGCGCAATTTTTCCGGCGCCGCATTTCCGACATCAGCTGGAGATGTATTTCTGACGTATGTGATTCAATTTTTGAAATCCTGATGCAATGCCACATTTTTTCTCCATTGTGCCTTGTAAGGAAACATTTTTTTAATTGAAAAAAAAACTTGTTGGCAAAGCAACATTCCATTTGAAATGTTACTCAAAACTTAGATGAAAAGTTTGAGCATTCCACTTGATCCACACAAAATTATAACGTAGTATTCATAGAATTTTTTTACGCGTACTTCTCCTTTACTGAAGTTTTAAAAGACATCAGTGAAGTTTAATCTCAAAAATCGAATGATGAAACGTGGTATTTTATAGATTTTTTTAGGTTCACCAACTGGAATTATGTGCATTGTTCTACTGTGTTTCGGAACTTCAGTTGCATTTTATTTTGTGGAAGTGCCTTCAGAGTTATTGAAAATTCCAATTGCATTTTTCAGAATTTTATTAATTTGGGGACGTTTCAGTTTTTCACGTTAAATGGAACTGAATATTTTGCGGGTTTAATCGGGGAATTTAGGTACTGTACTTGAGTAATGTTTCATTAGACACCCGGAACCTCATTCGAAATTTCATCAAGGAATTTCTTTTGAAAAATTATTTGAAGTTCACTGAATTATTCAGGATTCAAATCAGTTGCTCAATGAAAGCTTCCATTCGCCCCAAGGATTTTCAAGTTCACTGGAGTTGAACATTTTATGTGGTTGATTTGAGAAAAAAAAACTGCAATATTTATTGTCTGGACCCTCATTTAAATTTTCATCCATGAAGTACTGTACTAATTATTCATAAATTGCTGAATTTTTAAAAATTTTATTCTGTTACCCAGAGAAAGCTTGAATTTTTCTTGGGTATTTTCAAGTTCACTGGAACGCAAACTGTTCTGCGGTTAGTTTGAGAAACCGGAAAAAATATTTGAAAACACATTTTGAAGAGGAGTACAGTATTTTGGGAATGTGTTTTTCTTCCGAAAGCTGCCTTTTCTCGCGGAGAAGAAAATTTTTTTTTCCGTGGAGTGGAAGATAAGAGAAAACTGAAAGTGATACTTCACAATTTAATCGGATATACTGTATTTGAAACTTTTGCTGGATTTTTATTTATTAGTTTGATTTCTAACCCAGATGTTGGGTAGAAAAACTAATTTTTTAATAGAAAATTCTTGTTACAATTCCGTCGTACATTCTTTCGGTTTTTGTGCAACTTTGGTTGTTGTTGATCCAATGGATTGAATGCTGAAGTGTTTTTTTTTCTGTCCCATGGATTGAAAGATTCTTATGTCAAACCTCAGTTGTGTGTAATTTTTTGTGTGATGCCTTTTTTGATTTCAAGAAAAGCGCCTCTGTTGAATTTTTTTCTATTTGCAGAGAACATTTGAAGTGTATTAAGTTTCCAGGGATGAAGGATAAGGCAGATGATTTTTTTGTGGTATTCAGAGTGTGGTTTGAATCTGCAAAACACAATCGGAAATATCAAGCAGTTGCAGGAGGAGCTGCGATCTGTATGGTGATGCTATTATGTTTGTCTGGAGGACCAGGAACCAGTGGATTCATCAGCATTGGTGGAGACCAGACTGAAGCTCCTTTTAAAGGGAAAATTCCCAGGTAGAAATCTAAAGAGATCAACTAAAGTGTTAATCATTTCCTATCTTCCTCCTTTTGTCATATCCTTAATGCATTTTCTCTTATTAAATTGGGGCTAGATTTAGAACTCTTCTTTTCAAAAATAAACATATTGAAATTTTTTCTTCATGCTCTGCACTAGGCATCTTCCTGCAGGTAGGACATTTATGAACCAATAGGGGATGTTATATTTTGGTCAGAAATTCATCTCTTCTGAATAATCTCCCAGAATGGAGCCAAATTTTCCAACTCAAGAACTTTTATAAACCCTTTTTTTCTGTAATCCTTGGGTCCCTGAATATTCTCAGCTGAACTCAAGTTGACTTGTTCAGCAATTCAATTACATTACTATATGTCTTTCCCATGATTTCTCCAACCCTGTAAATCAATTGTAAAAGTACTAAAAAAATATTCCTATAGATCCGCATTCATAATTTTGAATACATCACTTGAATTTGAGCAGGTTGTTTTTCATCCAAGATTTTGCTGAACTCATTTCGTTTACATCATCTTTGATGCATACTTTCAGGACAAAAGAGGATTGGAAATCTTTGGATTTGACTGGGAAAATCCCTGAAGCAGTTCTTGCCAGACTACCTGATGTTGAGGTGCAGGAAGGGAGCATATTTGTGATGGGGATGCCTGTGTTTTATCGCCAGGCCAAAACTCGCTCCTTGTCACAACCTCATCAGCAGGTAAGCAGCAACAATCCAGATCTAAAATGCTTAAAGTTTAATTTGTTTTCCCACTTCAAAGCACAGAAAATGACTGCAAAAGAAAACCATGCCAAATCTGCTTTTTTGGCATTGAAAGGAGTTTGAAGAGCATTGAAACATGCACTTATATATTTTTTCTATGTACACAGCTGATAGAAAAGCCCTCAGCAGAGAATCACAATATTTGCCGGTTTTGAAAATACATTAGACTAAATTAGAGTGTATTTTTAGTAAGATTCAAATTTCCTTATGATGGTAGCTCAATAAATTCAAGGGATATCAAAATTTTAAAAATTAAATCTTTTTGTTCTGAAACATTTGGCATATCCATATTTTGAAATGCTGGGGCAGCAGATGCTTTGAGTTCAAAGTTTATATAAATCAAGTTTTCTGCATGTTGAATTGTGTGTATTATGCTGTATGCGCCTCTCTGCTGTTGATTGATTCTTGGGAATTGTTTCAATCTTTCAGGTGCTTTTGCTGCATGGGGCCTCATTCAGTTCGAAGACCTGGCTAGAGTTGCACACTCTGCCACTGTTGGCCGCCATGGGCCACCACGTCGTAGCAGTCGATCTGCCTGGCGGCACTGAGTCGCTCACTCCAGCCGTCCCCGTGGCTCCCCACTTTCAAAAGGACTTCCTGGAGGCGTTCATCAGCCGAGCTGGCTTGAAACCCGCTGTTGTTGTGTCCCCTTCCATGTCTGGCACGTTTTCCTTGTCACTGCTCAGGTCAAAGCCTGAGATGTTTGCGGGTTTTGTGCCTGTGGCGCCGGTCATGTCTGACGAGTTGACCCAAGAGTACCTGGGGTCACTCCGGGTGCCGACCTTGGTCTTGTACGGGGATCGGGACCAGCACGGGAAAAGGGTGAGCGAAAAGCTGGGCAAAATACCCACTAGTAGGGTTGTGATGATTGAGGAAGCCTCGCATCCCGCTTATATCGACCAACCTGATGTTTTCCATGAGTTGATGTACAACTTTCTGAGACTCTTGACTGAGATGAGTAAGTCGCATTAATGCAAGTTGCCAAGATAAAAAAAAAAAATTCTTCTAATCTCTTTGTGTGGATGAGCTGACAGAGNGAGTCGCTCACTCCAGCCGTCCCCGTGGCTCCCCACTTTCAAAAGGACTTCCTGGAGGCGTTCATCAGCCGAGCTGGCTTGAAACCCGCTGTTGTTGTGTCCCCTTCCATGTCTGGCACGTTTTCCTTGTCACTGCTCAGGTCAAAGCCTGAGATGTTTGCGGGTTTTGTGCCTGTGGCGCCGGTCATGTCTGACGAGTTGACCCAAGAGTACCTGGGGTCACTCCGGGTGCCGACCTTGGTCTTGTACGGGGATCGGGACCAGCACGGGAAAAGGGTGAGCGAAAAGCTGGGCAAAATACCCACTAGTAGGGTTGTGATGATTGAGGAAGCCTCGCATCCCGCTTATATCGACCAACCTGATGTTTTCCATGAGTTGATGTACAACTTTCTGAGACTCTTGACTGAGATGAGTAAGTCGCATTAATGCAAGTTGCCAAGATAAAAAAAAAAAATTCTTCTAATCTCTTTGTGTGGATGAGCTGACAGAGCACACGTGCAAGTTATTTGGGAGGAGGGATAGCAGTTGAATTTCAGAGCTGCTTTGGAGATTGAACTCAGAATTTTATTGAGGTGGAACTGAATTTGGCCTTTTCAATTCAATGTCAGGATTATTTATTTCCACTACCTAGATGTCACCTGAATTTCGTTGAACTTGGAAGAGAAGCTTCTGCTTTTTTCTATCCCTCCAATAAACAAATGCAGGAAAATGCTTCAGCAGCCCTCATGTGCTCATGAGTTTCCTCATGAAACTGACGGTTTTGTCCTGCATGGAAGCAAGTACTGTATCTGAATGCATTGTCATGTTCCCATGTACAAAAACTATTTTGTACTAAGGAGCCGAAGTGCGAAGAAATAAATGTGGGGATAGATCAAAACATAGCAAATGTAAGGTAGGCTTTGGATTGGACTAGTTACGGTAAATTATTTTGGTAATTAAACACGTTCAGGTGGCACCTGGCTAATATTCGAGAAATCAAGGTCAGGCATTGAAGTGAAAAGAAACCAGCTGTCATCCATCATTTTGAGTTATTTAGAGGAATGTGTGAAAACTGTACAGTACCAGGTTTAACCGGCAGCACTGGCTTTGAAGGTTGGACTTTCAACCAATTCAATTTTTGCTATTGTTCAAACAGATCAAGCTCAAAATCATGTTGATATCAGACGGAATTGAAAAGTTTCAGTGATATGACCTTTGCGAATTTTGTTTTAGATCTGCAAAAGCAAAGAACCATACTGTATATGAGGGATGTGAAACAGGAGACTTTATGATCAGAAAGGTCTCAGGGGTGAACTTTGAAATGATTATTTTTTGACTCTGATATGGTTACATGTCAGCATATTTGAGTCTTTCAAGATGACCCAAAATTCTGGAATTCGGGAAGGACGTTTCTGTGATGTACATGAATTAGTTACTTGTTATTTGATGCAGGGTGATCTGTTGGTTTCAGGGAATACAATTTCCAAAGCTTCAACTGCGTTTTCATTTAATAAAATGCTTACATAGTCAATATAGTGAATTATAAAAACCCTGCCATGCTGTTTGATACACAAATTGCAAATCAGGCACAAAATATTGATTAATTTCACTGGATTGCATGATATATTTTTGGCACATCAATAAAGTATTTGAAAATAATGAATGTGTTTTATCTCATCAGCATTAGACTGATGTACATTTTGTGAATCAGTCATTACTGCTAGATTCAGCAATAAAAAAACGCTAACTCCAAGCAAACATTTTTATGCAAACTAATCTTCTTCAGACGCTCTCCCAGAAATCATCTTAATAAGGCACTTCAGCCAAAATAAAAACCTTCCCATTTGGTCTCTTGAAATAGCAGACACACACACACGAAAGATGTATTGAAAATTCTTACTCAATACTTGAAAGAAATTTGGTGAAAATCTCAATGCACTGTATGCAAAGCAGGAAAAGACTCGGCTGAATCAGTCGCCAATTGTCAAAAGCGCGAATCCCAGCAGTGTCTTCTCATCCATGGGATCCCCACGAATCATACACGAGTTCTGTTCAGGGGGGAAACAAGATGTAAAAAAATTATTTCGCTCGGCGTGCCAATTACTTATCAAACTTAGTTAACGAACTCGGGAATGAATGATCTTATCAGCTGGAGCAATTAGTCAGTCTTACCAACGGGAATGAGACACCAATTGCTGGGAGGAGGGAGTTATTGCTTGCCGTGACCACGCCTTCAGACAATAGAGCACACTTTGCAGTCATGTATTGCAGCAAGATATTGTCTAGACTCGTGATCACAGAAGCCATATCTTGCGGATTAACGAGTCCTGCTCCAACGAGTTCACTCGCAATCCCCGGCGCTGTGTCCTTGCCCAGTTGGAACTCGAATCGAATATCGTTGAGCTCCCCATGAGAATTTCTGCGGTAGAAAAAAATGGTGATTTATGCAAAAGTTTTACAAAGAATGTAAATTGAAGTGGTGTCAGCAGAGGCACTCACCTCATTCTCAGAACAAGGCTAATGGGAGCAGTTTCCTCGAAGATGCCATCAAGTGTGCCCGATGAAGCGCCATTCACGGGACTTTTGGTTGAAGAAATGAGTTCATTTTTCCCTGACGGAATTGTACGCTTTTCCTTCCAGCATCAAGGAAGAAAAAATATAAGAAAAACTTGGGCGATGAGAAATTGTTCCTTTTTTATTGACGGATCATTTTATTTGCAAAAATTTACGTTTTGCTGTGTAAGATAAATCCTCAAGAACATTGTCTCCTTGAAAACAAGAGTAAAATGAACATCATTACAGTTGAGCCTTTTCACGTCCAATTCAAAGGGCTCAGTAAGCAAATTTGACTTAGGGAGGTTTTGAGTTAGGGAAACTGCCAATTTTGCATTACAGAAAAAAATCAAAGGAAGTTGAAATCAGCGATTCTCCTTGACCCAAAACTGCCCCAGCTGTGAAGTTGGCAGGATCTGGGAGGAAAGGGTTCATTTGCTCAATTATTCCTTCACATTCTTTCAAAAAGCATTTTTACACACATAAGTCACATTTTTATCGCGTCTTCTTTATCTGTGTCACAAAATAGTAGCCAAAATACCAGCATTTAAGCTAAGGAAATTTCTATAGTACACTGTTTTTAAGGAAATTCACACAGTCTGAAAAGTGGCAAATAAAGTGTTCTGTTCATTCATTCATTCACGCGGTCTTTAAAAAATTTGACGTGGGGATTATTGAGGTTCAACAGTAAATCTGAAATTTCGAAATTCACAAGGGTATACGCGATAATATGAACTAATTTTGCTTCAAGTACATTATACGCATCCCTATTTTATTGTTAAAAAACTAGAACATCAAATTGGTTTTAAAATACTGTAAGATCAGTAAAATTGCGGCCTATGTTCGAGGCATCAACAAAAAAAAGGCCGCATCACCGAAGTTATTCATAACAATTTTCAGTAACAAAAGGTGGGCCCATAAATGCAGTAATGCCTCAATTTCGTTTCCCATGACATAAAATAAATAAAAAATACATAAATACCTGTGACCCTTCATTAACGCAAGAAATGTTTGCTTTCAAATCCCCGGATCTCTCTTCAGCATTATTGCACTTGTCTTGTTCTTCAGTCCGAATTTGTACTTTGCATTCGTCGACAGACGACAATAAATCGTGTTCCGGAGCAGTCACAACCGGAAGTAGTACTCCATTATCAACACCAACATTATTCTTCTTTGCTGAATCCGAATTCGTGCCAATAACACCACGTTCGTTATTGCGAGACTCATTCACATCATTATTGACAACACGCTCGCGCTCATCACCATCACCACTTCCTTTCCCATTCACCGCACGTTCGACATCGTCGTCGTCGGAAGACCATTCCCATGTGTTATCTTCCTTCCGGTGGACACGAGCGGAAGTGGGTGGGCGCTGGTTCTGAGAATAAACGCCAACCACGCGTTCTTCTAGATTAGGAGCAGATCCCAGGAGTGTGAGTTGAAGGTAGGCCTTGTCTTTGGACTTGCGCAGGATGAACGGATGCTTGAGTAGGTCAGTCGCCGATGGGCGTTTCGTCGGGTCCTTTTGGAGACAGGCTGCGATGAATTTGCGCAGCAAAGTGCTGTAGTGCTTGTATTGTTCCTGGAAAATGAAAACAAAATTAATACTGAAAAATCAGCGTGACGATATGTCCAGCACGGCGTATATATTGTGTATACATGAGTTCCAAAAGTCAACGTTTCAAAAATTAATCGGCATAAGAACAGGAGAAAAAGTGAAACTTAGCCCCGCAAAAAAAGCTAATAATTTACATAACAGAGGTCAAACAAAATTTGAACTTTTTGCCTTGGGCCAAAGGATGTTATTTCATAACAATGATTGTTTTTTCAGCTCAATCATATGCCGTTTCAATTCACATTTGGAAAACATTTGTTGGGCCGAGTCTCAACAATTAACCAACGTAAAAAAAATCATTGCATGATTAAATACTTTTTAGACAACCTAGGCAAAATTAAAAATAAACTCAGAATAAAAACAAAGTGAAACATTTTTGAGCCAATTCTCGATACAGTAATCCAATACTGTATAACAAAAAAGTACTGACAAACTTTGGGACGAGCTGCTGATGTATGTCATAAAATTACCTGAACAAAAACAGCAAATTATGTGCAACAAGCTGACGTGTTGAATTGGATGCATACAAATAACTTGAATTCTTAAGAACTATACCGTATATACAAAACTGTACAAGAGCACTGAAGATATTGATCATTCAATATATTGGCCGATTTTTTTTAGAATTTAATTGAAGTCAAAATTATGGGTCATCGTATCCTATGCATTGACGCATAGTGCTCTGCTAAATTATCAAATAAAGAATTTTCCAATTGCAATAATTGTAACATATTGTTGAGGATTACAAAAGGGTCGCTATACCGATTTCCTGTATTTTCAATTATTTCAATCAATGAAAGACAGGCAGCACTCATTTGAGTCCTCTGGAAAGTGCAAAGATAAAGCCAATAAGTGGATTCTACCTCCATAAATTCAATGAAAATTAAACGTAAGTTATGCTGACTGGCACCCGAAAAATATCCCCGGAGGACCACATCTCAACCATAGTTGCTTTGCAGGAGGAAAAAAAGAGCTGCAAATATAAGTGTATCCCAATTTGTTTTCAATCAAGTCAAGATGTTAGCCAATGTTGCTGCAATTTTCACTGCAGAATTCCAATTTTCTCCCCAACCTTGAACTGTTGAAAAATAAAATATAAGCATTTTGCATGAAAAAAATACCAAAATCGTAAAACGCAGACATGAGTCATGGAAAATTTTCGTGTTATTGTTAGACTCAATAATAAGTAGCCAAGCCGAGTATGAATGCTGCTGGGCATAAATTAAGGTACATACAGTATTGTATTTTAATATCTGGAAAGACGACTTCATCACGTTTTTTTTAGTTGTCCGAGTGTAACTGCACCAAAAATCAGCTCATTCCTGGGATATAACATTTGTTCAAGATGTTCTAGCTGTAAAGTGGCATATATTTTCTTTAATTTTGATGTAACTTATATTTAACGGACATATCGAATTTATTAAGTTTTGAAATTTCACGGAATACGGTACAATAAGTTGAAAAAAAGACTGAAACACATGGTGCGCACCTTGTCATCAGTCCCGGACTCCAAGACTGGAGGATCGTTCTGCAGCGTCAACATCAACACCTTCATGGGTGGGTACTTGTGGTACGGGGCCGTGCCTGTGGCCAGTTCTATGGCAGTGATGCCCAGGGACCAAATGTCCGCCTTGTAGTCGTAGCCAGTGACCTGTTCCATGACCTCGGGCGCCATCCAACACGGGGTGCCCACAAACGTGTGCCTGCTCTTGGTCCGAGACAAATCCCCGCCGGTCGCCAGCCAGGCACTCACTCCGAAATCCGCGATTTGCACAGACCCGTCGATGCCAATCAACACATTACCTGCTTTGATGTCCCTGTGGATTTGCCCGTTGTTGTGAAAGTACTCTAGTCCCTTGAGAACTTCTCGCAACACCGTGGCAATGGTGGCTTCGTCAAACACGCCGTGTTTGCAGTCGGTTGCCTTGACGCGATACCGGATGATGTCCAGGAGAGAACCACTGCCCATGAGTCGAAGGATCAGCCAGAGCTCCTCGCCAACCACAAAGCTCGTGAAATAGGTGACCACGTTTTCGTGGTGACACATCGACATGGCTTGTATCTCTTTCAGCAATTCCTCCATGGTCGTGTTCCATTTGTCCAGGTTGATGCGCTTGATGGCGCATTTTTCCTTGCGTGGTTTGCAAAAGGCCTCTTGCACTGCTGCGGTGGCTCCAACACCTTAAATTGCACCAAGAATGGGTCACAAATCTGCATGAATCTAAACTTATAGGTAGGAAATCACTCAGCACGTCTCATCGCCTTAAACGCGCGGAGGAATACACAAAAGAAAATGATGACTTTGTCCGCGTGCAACGCAGATATATCTGTCGTCAGTCAAATCCTGAATTTCCCATTTAACGACAGCATCATTCAAACTACTGAACGTCAATACTGCTTATATTTTTCTAGACAAAGTGGTACTGCGGTACAACACGTCGTCGCTTGACAGCATATATAATTGCAGTAAGTACAGTATACTCCGTTAATGCTACGTAAATCGTACGCTGCAACGCTTATATTCAGGAGATATACATTAAGCTCATGAATTATTGCCTGTATTTTACTGGCTACACCGCAGTATCTATACCAGTTTGTTTTAATAAAGTAATTAAATACGTGCAATGCAATATGTCAACCTGATCTGAATTTTTCTGGTGAACGATAAATGAATTCTTCACTGAAACGTCATATTGAAGTTTACCATCTTATTTGCAGCATCGCTGCAACTCTATACAGTACAGCTAGTATGAATACGTTTTCTATCGTGAAATAGGTGACCACGTTTTCGTGGTGACACATCGACATGGCTTGTATCTCTTTCAGCAATTCCTCCATGGTCGTGTTCCATTTGTCCAGGTTGATGCGCTTGATGGCGCATTTTTCCTTGCGCGGTTTGCAAAAGGCCTCTTGCACTGCTGCGGTGGCTCCAACACCTTAAATTGCACCAAGAATGGGTCACAAATCTGCATGAATCTAAACTTACAGATAGGAAATCACTCAGCACGTCTCATCGCCTTCAACGCGCGGACGAATACACAAAAGAAAATGATGACTTTGTCCGCGTGCAACGCCGATATATCTGTCGTCAGTCAAATCCTGAATTTCCCATTCAACGAAAGCATCATTCAAACTACTGAACGTCAATACTGCACATAATTTTTTAGACAAAGTTGTACTGCGGTACAACACGTCGTCGCTTGACAGCGTACATAATTGCAGTAAGTACAGTACTCCGTTAATACTACGTAAATCGTACGCTGCAACGCTTACATTCAGGAGATATACATTAAGCTCATGAGTTATTGCCTGTATTTTACTGGCTACACCGCAGTATCTATATACCAGTTTGTTTTAATAAAGTAATTAAATACGTGCAATCCAATATGTCGACCTGATCTGAATTTTTCTGGTGAACGATAAATGAATTCTTCACTGAAACGTCATATTGAAGTTTACCATCTTATTTGCAGCATCGCTGCAACTCTATACAGTACAGCTAGTATGAATACGTTTTCTTCCATCCCAGTACTGTATAATGCACATAAGAGGTTTCACAGCCTAGAAGGACCCCATTTGAATGATCCACAGGATATCCCTTACTGCAGAAACTATTCTCACCTATTACTTCTTGAAGCTCGTAGTCATCCGGTGACGTGGGCCAGCGTACTGCTGCGGAAACGGAATTCGCTTCTGCCAATTTGTCAAGCGCGTCAGCGAGCATCCATTTGTTGCACAGGATTCCCTCTGACACCGTGTGTGAGAGCGGCGACTTATTATTGCTGCGTCGCTTGGTAGATGACGCGTGCTGGTCATGTGGAGGCACAGGACTGAGTCGGTGGTGCAAAGTTGGCGAAAGTTTCCTATTTACACACAGTACAGTATATCCATAAATGTACCATGCATCCAACAAATCAGATACAGTATATCCAACAGGGAATATACAAGTGGTACCTTACAATTTGACCCTATCCGTTGCCAAACAAGGGTCAAATTGCGTGACTTTCCCTAGAATTAAAAAATGCAGGTACAAAAGCCCAAAAAAAAAATGGCCAAAGATGGTCAAATTGCAGGACAAGGCTCAAATTTCAAGTCAACCTCCCTGCAAATTCAATTTTCAAATTTCGGGATGGTTAAATTGCAAAGGTCAAATTGTGAGGTACCACCAGTATTCATATACTGTATGCAGTTCTCACCCCATGTGTGAATCTGAGGCATTGCTGGATTTGTCTTAAAATTATTAAAAATCAATTTGTTGAGTACAATTTTCAAAATTTCAAAGTGCTGTTGGATATATTTCGATAGCTCAAACTTCTCAGAGTAGAAGAACATCCCTATGTCAAAATTTTTTGCTGTACATGTCTGGATTCCCTTAAGAACAAATTATTACAGATTACAGTATAGTGTTTTTCAAACTCAAATTCCTACAGGACTGACATTTCTGGTGCCCTTTGGTACAGCATATTATTCTGGGGACTCAGGAAAGAAGAAATGAATGCAATAGTGACTACTGCTGCTTTTCAAAAGTAAATGAGTAAGTGAGGTTAGAAAAATACAATATATCCTTGCCTCATCCAAGTTCAGAATGCTGTCAACTCATGTACCCATTCACTTCAAGACCAACATTACAAAATTTCTGCATTTCTTCATAGCAAAAGAATGCTAGTATTTCCCCAATACTTTGCTCCAAAGTTATCAAAGTCAAAAAATTTTTTTTTGCAGCTGGTTCCTGATTGGAGTTTGGCTCCATAAATAGAGGTTTTGACTGTAATATGACTCACGGGTCATCAAGTTGCACAGGCAACAGAGCGAGTTTCAGCGCCTCGCCCAGCACACTGGTAGGCAAGAGAGATGGCGGGTGCAGGAGCGGCGATGATGCTGACGTGGTCAGTGCGTGATGCGCCTTATTGCTGCTCGATTTGTGGCTACCAGCACTGCTGCCACCGAACAGTCTCGGGGATCTCGGCGGGGTGAAACTGGCGGAATTCATTCTCGAAAAACCGACCGGAATAAAATCCTGAATATCCCGAAAACCCTGGCTTACTCTCTTTACTTTAAATAATATCTCCAAGTGTTTTTTTCTGGAATCAGATTGTGGGCATGGCTAAGACAAACGAGCGCACACAATCCTCTCAAAATGCAAAATAACTTCCGCCAAAACCCAGAGAGAAAAAAAACAACCCTGTAAATGGAAAAATCAGCACAAAATCAATTAGTTCAACAGGATAGTTTCACGAGGAATACTGTACTCTTAACAATAAAATCTTGTTACAAGAAAGCCACTGGGACCATGCAGAGAAAAAGGTTCATTTTAAGAAACACAATAAAGTAGTTCAAATTATATTACTGTGGCTATTACTGTACAGTATTTGTTTAAAAAAAGAGTTGTAATGAAAATTAATCTGCATGTACACCAGAAAGCAAATCCTGGTTAATTTACAAAACTGCACCAAATCAATCCTCAACAACACATAAAATAGACTCCAAAATTTACTGAAATCATCACTCCCAAATTTTCAGAATAAAAAATTTTACCAAAAAGGTTATTAAAAGGTTCATTTCAAGAAACACCATAAAGAAGTTCAAATGATATTATTGTGGCTATTACTGTACAGTATTTGTTTAAAAAAAAGAGTCGTAATGAAAATTAAATCTGCATGTACACCTGAAAGCAAATCCTGGTTAATTGACAAAACTGCACCAAATCAATCCTCAACAACACATGAAATACACTCAAAAATTTACTAAAATCATCAACTCCCAGATTTCCAGAATAAAAAAAAAATACCACCAAGGATTAAATCGCCTTGAACAAAAAAAACACACACACTCTTCATGATCAGCTTCTCTCCTCAAAAAAACCTGAAGAGAAAATGATAACAATGCAGGAGAACTGGTTAGGGTGGATTAACGCGACCCTCATCATCATTCTCATTACCCATCAACCCCAAAAAGTCCGGAAGCACAATGACGGAACCAGATCCAAGCAGAGCCATAGCAGCATGCACTCTCCTCATCACAAAACGGAAGATGATATCTCACATCCGAATGAACCAGCAGCAACTATCTTTATCCCTATGATGATTATATGATGGCGCCTCTGAACCCCGGCG